GGTCAGCCCATGCCATATACTAGCTCAGGTATAGGAATGAAGATATCTGCTAGTGATAAGGAAATTAAATACATTAGACTAATCGCTAGACGAATTTATGATGTTACTAGTGAACCTGACAAATATACATGTATCCAGACAACAATACTAGAAACTGACCATGTGAAGTGTGCTTTGAGTACAACTGCATGTTTATCATAGCAGTGTTAATTGTTTGAGCATGCTTGTTTTTATTTTGCAGTTAAGTCCAACTGACTATATTTTATATTTTGTGCTATGTGCATGCCATAGCAATGTCTGCTAATCTTTTTGTTCATTTTGGGGGTAAACACTAATGCTAATAGGCAAATTATAATAATAACCAGCATTTATTTAGCACTTTAAGATTTGAAAAACTTTTTACACATACCTGGTCTTCACAACACCCTTGTGAAGTAGGTGCTATTATTATCCCCATTTCACAGATCAAGAAACTGAACCTGAGAAGCTGTGATTTCCCAGGATCAGAGAGCTAAGTGTCTGAGGCAAGGACACTGTATATATGTGAACATTCAAATATATACATATAATCATGTGTATGTATAATTACTGATATTACTGTTATTATTATTATAGCTAACTAGCTATTCTTTGCTTTGTTGTTTATTATTTATTGCCATGTACTATGAATATGCATATATTTGCTCTATGCATAAAGCATTTACTAGAAAGCATTTGCCCCATCAAGTTCACTTCCACAAATATAGCATAGCTGATAGGAGATTCACCTCCTAGCTGGCAAGACATGGTGTCTCATCTACCAGAACAATCCAGCGCTGGGCTGGATGGAACCCAAAGGTCATTTCATAGCCATACTCTTGCACCCCAATGACTGAGGTGATAGAGAAGGGAGTGTGCCCTGTGGTGTAGGGAGAAATGCTTTAAAATTTCTGTTCCTGCTATATCTTGTCAATATCTTAATGTTAACTGGTTAAATAATAGTAAGACATTAATCACTAGGTCAGTCTTAGGATGTAGAGGTAATATTGACAGGTACTGGTTAGATGATATTGAAGAAATAACAAGCAAATGATATTGGGTAAAACACACTGGAATGGGAGATTGAACCAACAGCATTAGAAAAATACCCTCAGTCCCTTTTGGTTACCCTCAAAACCCAGAGGAAAAGCAGTAATCTGCTCTGGGCACCCAATTTTCAAGCGAAGGTTTGGAGAGGAATAAAGTCTTCCTAATAGTCTAAATAGGCTACACTAAGTCCAAAGGTTGTTGAATTCAATGATTAGGCAGGAGATTTCATAGAGGGAGATTTCCTCAACAGAGTACTCCTTAGAAAAGGAAAAGAACCACCAGCATGACTTCTACAGCTAGAGGACTGGAGTCAGTTACATCATGGGAGACAGGATATCTGGACCTTGCCAACTCCTGATACAGACATGAGTTACTTAGTATGTGTACAAGGTGAATAAGAGTATTTTCTCAGTCTTCCAATGTGTCTTCACTTTCTGGGAAAAGTCTAATGAGCATTTGAGGAATTTATATTCCTGCATTTGCTCATAGAGTCCAGTAAGTTCTTTGGATAAAAGTGGCCGATACTCATACTGTACATGGAGTACTTGAAGGGGAGTTGGGAACCTATCACCACATTTAGGAAAACCTAGATAGGACCTGGATAGCTAAGTGGTACAGTGGATGGAGAACTGGTCCTGGAGTCAGGAAGACTTAAACTCAAATCTAACCTCACACATTTAATAGTTGTGTGACCCTGGGCAAGTCACTTCACCCTGTTTGCCTCAATTTCCTCATCTGTAAAATGAACTGGAGAAGGAAATGGCAAACCACTCCAGTGTCTTTGCCAAGAAAACCCCAAATGGGGTCACGAAGAATGGGACACGACTGAAAAATGACTGAACAAAGACAGGACCTACACCACAAGCATATTTAAAGATTTTCCTGAAGGACCTCAGGTAGGGACAATGAGAAAAAGAGAAAAACTGGCCATTTGGGGTTAGACTCCTATGACCAAACCTGGTCTCTGCAAGCCTAGAGTTTTGGGGGAAAGGGGAAGGGAGAATGGAGCTTGGACCATAGGTTACAACAGATTCATGATTATGTGGGGCCAAATAGTCAGTACTCCTAAGGTGAACTCATTGAACAAATAGTTATTTAGGAACACAGTTTCAGTGGCCGAAGCCTCTTTTCTCTACTTTGTAGCATCAAGTCAGCAACATAGGAATTTTCATTTTACTTATTAAAATTAATTATAAATTTGGTCAGTTTATCTAGCTACAGATTCTGATCTTGCTCAACTTTACAGAAAAAGGAATACATTTGAAACAAAGCAGTACACTACTTATACAGGTTTCTGAGCTGAAAATTCATAATTATGTTGAAAAATCCATTGTTTTGGGAAGAAATAAATTACTTAAATTATTTTAAAATGTTATTCCATTTGAATGAACTTGATTAAGACACTACAATAAAAAGGGTGTGAGCAAAAAAGGAGCAAATGTCCTATATTAAGTGAGGAATTTTTTTTCATTTTAGGTAGAAACTGTTAAAAACAAATTCTCTTTCTATAATTTGAATTACAATGGGCCATTATCATAAATCAATTCAGAAAACAAGTAGCTATGCTGTCATTTAGAAGTAAATCATTATACAAGTGAAGTCTGATAGTGAGACAAGCACAATTTATTTAGATTGACCTTTTTTCAGAATACACAGTCATTTTATCCATAAATCTCAGAACCATCTCCTACTCTGCAATGGTACATTAATTTTTTTCTAGTGACATTTAAAAACCAGAGCTAAAATCCAGACATAATCTCTATGTCCTCTGGAAGCAATGCTTAACGGGATTAATTTATATCTCTGTGGTCAGAAAAGCATGAGGGAGTAGAAAGAAAATGAATTTTGGGGTCAGAAAACTAAAATTCAAATGTTAGCACTTTCATTTATTATGTGACCATAAGAGTAATTTCTCTTCTCTGGTTCTCACTTTCCTCACTTGTAAAATAATGGCAATGAACCAGGTTGTTGAGAATGGTGGAAAGAACAGGAGCTTGGCGTTAAATCCAGAACCAATGATCCAGAGTCACAGAACTCAGGCCTACTTCACTGGATAAGTCACTAAACCATCCTGGGCTGAATTTCGTTTTTTCAGCTGCTCAATAAGGTGGGTGATGCCAGATGGCTTCTGAGGAACCATTCTAGCTGTGGAACGATGATCTTCTGACTCTGGAGTCAGATAATCTTGGTTCGAATTTTGCCTCTGATGGTATCTGTATGACTGAGCCATTCAGCGAAGAGCCTCTTACTCAAGTCTATTTCCTCAGCTCAAACTAGATGTTGACTAGATGTCCTCTGGGGTCCCTGCCAGCTATATCTATGACCTATGAGTCTGTTATTATGACATCTCTGTTGTCCCTCCTAAATCTAACATCCAAGGACTCTGAGGTTTTGTCACTGACTGTCATTGTTCCCTGACAATCTGGTGTAATCTGGGAAATGGATATTCTTCATCCTTCCCAAGTGGATGGTCAAGCCAGATTTTCCTAAGTGCTTACAAATGTCTTCCAGGAGGCTTTGCAGTGCATCTGGAGCCCCTCCCCCACATGACGAATCCCTCTTCGCCTTGGCCTTCTTCTCCTCTCACATGGTGATGAATACATCTGGAAAGCATACATCTCCCTCCTTGTGACTCAACACTTCATGGCTGGTATAACAATACTCACTTTAAAAAAGTGGTGACTTGAGGAAACATTTGGCCATCCATCCACCATATAACATAGCATTTGACATAAATGTAGTACAGAGGAGGAGTTGGTCCCTCCTTCCTATAGTTGATGTAATCATATAAAATGAGGGACAGATAACAGAACTAATGATGCATCAATATGCTAATAAGGTGCAAAGGTCTATCTATCATAAATTTATGAAATATGAATGAGTTCTGTGATTGAATTGAAAGCACATCTGGCTAAAGATTGGCCATGATTTTGAAGGCCTTTCTAGAAGCTAAGTCTATCGAATCCTAGAGACTGTTCAAAAGTTTGAGAGGGTTTGAGACACAGTTGAGATCCATCCAGCAAGGAGAAGACACAAACTCTATGGAGATATAGACACATTGGAGAACAGAGTTCTAGGAGTGTGACTTCTGATAGCAAGAACACAGCTGATAATGGATTAAAGATAGAACTAGCCTTGATAATAAATAGTCAAACTACAGCTGCGGAGAGGCACAGACCCACCAAGCCCAACCGTGGACCCGAGACACTGTGCCTGGTGGAGAACTGCATGACGACTTGATAAGAAAAGATATTGGGGCCCGGTAGATATTAGGGCATGTTATCTCAATCATGTGTGTCCCACCATCACCATACTCTGAACTTATGATCATTTATCCCATAGATGCTGTATTTTGGGAAGAGGGCTTCCCAGGTTATTGCAGAAAGGAGAGTGTGAAGTTTTTTGTGGATACTAATCTTACTATGCCTTTTGAGAAAATACTTTTGCTTTGGGAAAAAAATGTGTCTATTGGCAAAATGTAAGCTCACTGGGAGGGGCTTATGAGCAATAATTTCAGGAGTACGGACCTACCTACCTAAACTAGGTAGTAGTCACCCCTCTGGGGACCTAAACCTACGACCTGTGAGTGCTGAATGGGGGAGGCAGTTCAGAGAAGTTGTTACATGAATAATCATAGCACAATTCTATTTTAATTATATATAAAATATACATTCTATATAACACATGTAATATATAATATTATTTTAGAGAGGTAGTATGTGACCTTGAAAGGTTTTTAAATGCCTATTCAAATTGTTGCTTTTTTAAACATTAGAACCCAAAGGAAAAAACAAACATCGCATTAAAATAATTATGAGGGCACCATCATCATGAGTCCAGTTAGTTATGGTGCTATGAATCTTATTTTTCACAAGTACTTGCCAATGGTAGACAACATACAAAACAATTAATTATACACTGGGCCTGAGTACCTGAAGGAGAAGGTTGTCCTTTTACTACTCCATTTTTAGTCTTTTCTTCAGAATTCATTACTTCCTTATAGATCAGCTCTGCAAGAAATAATTGTCAGGGTAATTGCTCTTTGGTTCAGGCTTCAGAGAAATTCATTATTCAATGACAAATGACATTTGTGATGTGATGGGGTAAAATGAAAATTGAACAGCATTTCTTTTTGTCCTATTTCATCACTTTCTTCCTATACTTTATCAGGCCTGCTGAGCTTATTTATTCTGGTACATAAATATCTCTTTGAGTTCAATCCTTGACCTTTTGCTTTTCAGCATTAACTCACTCACTCAGCTTATTCACCGAATTATTATTTATTGAGAGTCTATTATGTGCAAGGCACTTAACCTGGTGATTTGTGGCTAATATTAAGAATAATCTATGATTCCTCACCTCAAGGAGCTTACAGGGAGGAAAAATAAGACAAATACACTAATAATACTTTGTGGTTTCTTCAGTTTTAATACTTCCACTGCCAATATAAATTCAAAACCTTTCATATCCTCTCATCCTGAGTAAATCTTAATTTATATAACTCTTCCATATTTTCACATAAATACTCCACAGAGACTTACCTAGCAAAATAATGCAAAGAAGAAGGTTTAAATGTTATGGGCCTTCATAAGGAAGAGGAGAGTGCATATATTTGGGGTATAGGGAATATACCCATGAAGACAGAAGCATATTATCTGATCCATAGAGGCTGTAGAGGATGGACCAGATGACCTCTGAGTTTTTTTGAATTCTGAAATTCTGTGTTCAGCAACTGCAGATAGTAGATATTGGCACAGGGCAGAAAGCTATCTTCTTCTATGAAGAGAAAAGCATCATAATTTCAATATCCATGTGTTCTCCCAAACTCCATCTCTGACCTCACCTTCTCTTTATCTCAATTAGTCAGTCAACACATTTCCAGCTGTCTACAGAATACCTCCATTTAAGTCTTGACAACATTTGAAACAACAAAAACTTAATTCCCGAATGGATACCAAATTTGCCCATTACTGCAGTTATTACTTCTCTCTCTATTTGCTCTATCTAATTGTTCACCTATTCTTGCCAATTCTACATTTCCATAATCATCTCTGTTTATAGACCATCTTATTTCTAGTTTCTTCCCATCTTATTTTTCCCATTATTCCCATCCTAAATTCATCTGCTAAGATGATCTTTCAAAGTAAAAGAACATTCTATTTCTTTCCTGGTGTTCTTCATTAGTAGGAAAGAGAGGGTAGGGGGTCTCTCAGAGTTCAATGTTCAGCTACAAATCTGGATGGACCAGTGTGCAGTCAGGTTTTATCAGTAACTTCTCACTTCTCAGCAATCTAATCAGCTAAAGAGGCTTCTCCAAACTCTCTTTTGCTCCTGATGAACAAACACAGATGAGCAGTTCTCTTCTTTCCTCTCTGTCTGCCCACTAGACACTACTTTCTTGAGAAAACAGAGATAAAGTGATCTCCCTTGAACTTGACAATATGACTTAAAAGGAGGCATACAAACTCAGAGGAAAATTGGACAATGAGATGGAGTTCTCAGGCAAACCAATCCCGTACAGGCTTGCTTTCTACAGAGTTCTACTTTGCAGAAAACACATTTATGAGGAACCTATATATATCTCATCAAATCAGATGTAACCTCTTCAGCTTTTTCAGCTACATCCAACTGATCCATATATCTATGCATCTGCATTTCTTCATACTCTTAAACAAGCTCCTAGGCAATAGTATTTAAAAGAAAATGGGAGATATTTGAATTCTATCAACTTATAAGAACTCATAAGGTGCTTAACTCATTCATGACTACGTAGTCCTCAACCTATTAACCAATCCTACCAAATTAACAATGTTTGAATTAGGTAATCAAAAAGTTGAGTTAAATTTTTAATTAAAATTTACTAATTCTTGATTTATGTGGGCTCTTGCCATAGACCACATTCTATTCAGACCCTAGATGCATCTTTTTGATTGGATAAAAGTAGTTTTAATCTAAGATTCCTCTTCAAAATGAATTTCTCCACCACATATCACTTATGATTACATGTGCATATAAACTCCTCCATCTGGCATTTAGCACTTTTTACAATCTGGCCCTTTCCTACCTTTTTTTTTTTTAAAAGCCAGCATAAAGCATTTTATTTATAGCAATAATAAAACTTGAAACTCATGTGGTGGAGACAGAGTGGGTGGTGGAACTTTCTCTTACCAAATCTCTATACAGGACAGCAAAAGAAGAGCAGGGTAGGGAAAAAGGAAGGTGAAAGTAGGGAAAGAAATATCAGCAGTGGGGGAATTTAACACCAAAAATAGGAGATGTTGAAAGCTGTGATGACCACATCAGATTTTTGTTTATTTATTATCTATTTATTTATTTTGTAGAGAGCACAATATTAGTTGTGATGATGACTGGGCTTTAATTGTGTTGAAATTTTGTACAATTTAACAATCAATTCAAGTTTTTAGAATTTGGGTAGTTGAAGAGTTTTGATGGGTCCTGGAGACTGAAAAAGTTCTCCAAATTCATTAGAAACTACAATATGGGAGAAAAAAAAAGAACACAAGATGGCATTCCATAGCCCAATTCCAAGCTTTTTTACTGGCTGTACCCTTGCCTGGAATGTTCTCCTTCCTTATCTCCAGTCCTTGGCTTCCTTCAAGACTCAGCTCAACCTTCTTAGGAGACCTTTCCTGTCCCCAGATCTCCACTGTATAAACTTCATGTGTACCTACTTGTTTGCATGTTATATCCTCCACTGCAATGTAAGCTCCTTGAGGGCAGCAACTTTTCCTTTGCTTTGTATCCCCAGCACTTAGCACAGTGCCCAGAATAGAGTAGCAAATGTTTGTTGACTAACAACTGACTGATTGCACTTGGCTTGCATTCCCTTGGCACCCCTACTTCAAAAAGACCTGAGATTTCTTCAAGGCTTAGGTCAAGTTCTGGCCACTTCCAAAATAACTTGTCTTTATTCCTCTATTTTGTGAGCTCCTTGAGGGAAGGGACGGCTATTTATTTTGTCACAGTGCCTTGCATATGGTAGGTAATTAATCAATATTTTCTTCCTCTTGTTGTATCGTGTTCTTCCCTACAGAAGGGCAACATTAATATTAGAATGTAAGGACTGCTGAAGATTTATTGGATAGTATTAGAGAATTTCAATGCTAATTACTGTTATATCAAGCAGGAAATGTTTCAATGTATCCTCTGAGTTTTTAGAGACATCACATTCTGATTTTTCATGAAACAACAACAAAAAAAGACTTTTACTTTACTTTGTCAATATATTTACCTTTCCATTCTTCAATGGTATGTTCCCTTTCATCCAGCTGTTTATCATATATCTGTGGAGGAGGCTATAGAATAGAAATAAATATAAGTACTTTCCTAACAACAACAATATGCACACATGACATAAAATAATATACAATGTAGGATTTTTCCATTTATTTCCATACCTTGGTACAGAATAGAATGAACATAATATGGATACTGATGCCTACTGTTCTATTCAGAACCTCTAATTTCACTTAGAGCACAGAATCAAAGTGTAAAATATCTTAAAGATACAACAAAGATATACTTAATCCTGCCTTACAGTAATTAGGGTAGAAGTCAGTAAAAAAAATAAAAGAAGTTGTGCTGGGAATTAACACACAAGATTAAGATGTTGGGGGAGGGGAGATGGACTCAGCCTTCTGTCTGGAGATTTTCCCCAAAACTTAAGTTTAGGAAGAGTCCCTTTGATTCTTAAGCCAACAAGAAATCGGTTGAGTGACACACTTGGTTCCTCATGTGAGCCCTTGCTTAGTTTATTATCAGCCAATGATTGTTAGGTGCTTAGTGTTGTGTTGAAGGTTAAATGGGAGACAATAAGATTTAATGGACAGGGAGCTGACCTTCTTAGGAAGACCTGGGTTCTAGGCCCACTTCTGGATATGTTCCCTAGAGCAAGTCAGTTGACTTCCCATTTCACCAAACAACTAAAACTATAAGTTATAGAGGAGTTGCTAGTCTATATTGCTAGAATATTTCTTCATGAAGAAGATACCTAGCCCAATGACATCACATATTGTGATCCCCCCCAAATAAAAATCTCAGAACTAGATACAATCTCAGACATTATTTTCAAAAGTACGACTACTATATAAGGCACTCAATGATTTTCCTGAACTTTAGAGGACCAAAATAATATCTGACCAGGCTTTTAAGAAGTACCCTTTACACATCTGAGAAATATGTACCACTAAAAATAGTAAAGTGCTATTTGCAAATTCATAAGACATTCAAATCTAGTCTTGACTGGCATGATGAGACACTCATTTTGGACTGGATTCAAAGTAATATGCTTAGGTGATAAGAAATTTATAGAACTCACTGTCTGACAAAAACTGCTGGGAAAATTGGAAAGTAGCCTGGCACAAACCAGGCATAGACCAACGTCTCTCACCATTTACCAAAATAAAGTCAAAATGGGTACATGATTCAGCCATAAAGGGTGATATAAGCAAATTAATGTATATCTATATTACAAGTAATTTCTTCCATGCCACATTAATAAAATGTAGGGGAAGAATTCATGACCAAGCAATGGAAAGAGAGGTTCATGGGAGGTAAAATGGAAAATTTTGGTTATGTAAAATTGAAAAGTTTTTGCATGAACAAAACCAATGCAGCTAAAATAAAAAGAGAAGCAAGAAACTGGGAAAATATCTTTGTGGCAAATTTCTCTGATAAAGGTCTTACTTCTCAAATATGTAAAGAACTAAGCCAAATTGGTAAGAACAAGACCATTCCCCAGTTTATAAATGGTCCAGGAATATGAAGAGGCAGTTTTCAGAGGAAGAAATCAAAGCTATCAATAGTCATATAAAAATGCTCTAAATCACAACTAATTAGAGAAATGTAAATTAAGACAACTTTAGTATATAAAATTATATTAATTCCTTGTGGTTGAGCCATGTTATTATATAAAAATATCATAAAAACATAAATTAAATTACAGATTTTAGTACTATGCCAATCAAACTACCAAAAGATTGCTTTATAGAATGAGACAAAATAATAAAAATTAATCAGAAGGAACAAAAGGTCAAGAATATCAACTGAATTAATGAAAAACAAAATTGGGAGGAAGGGGGCCCAGCAGTATCAGATCCCAAACTATACCTCAAGTAGTAATCATCTAAAGTATTTGGTACTGGTTTAAAAACAGAATAGATTTGGCATGCAAGACCCAGAAGCAATTGAACATGGCAGCATACTTTGTGAGAAAACCTAAAGGATACATGCTACTCAGGGTAAGGACTCACTATTTGACAAAATGCTGGGAAAACTGGAAAATATCTGGGAGAAATTGGACTTAGATTCTTATCTCATATGATTTAATAAAATTTTCAAATGGATACATGTGCTAAATATTAAAAGTCCTATCATAAATTAGCAAAGAAGGGAAGGAGACACCTTTCATAACTGTGTACAGGAGAATTCTTAACTAAACAAGTGATAAAGATAATCATAAAACTTAAAATTGATCATTTTACTTAAACCTAAATAACTTAAACCATTTCAAATCCATTTATCAATTTCTTTTCTTAAAAGTTATTTTAAAGTCCTATTTTTATACGGGACCAGAGATCAAATTGTTTCAAATTTATTTTTGATTCTGAGGTGTTCTGTTCCTGCCAACAGGTTCTGCTGCAAGTGTTTATGAGAAATGTTGTTAAATCTGGGAAATATATATTCTTTACCAGAATAAAATTATAAAAATACAAGTGGAAGTAAGACTGGGGTGGGATAAAGCCCATCCATTTGTTCCTCTGGCAGGCTTGTTTCTTTCAGTACACCTACTGCTGGAGCAAGCACCTATGATTAAAAAAAACACACTCACATCTTCCAGTCTATTCATTTAGAAGTCATTTTTCCTGGTCTAAAGTGTGAAAGACACTGGCTACCATCTTGATCATGTTGCTGCCGTGAGATGAGGGCCATCTCTCCTTCTCTCTCCTTGTTTTCCTTCAGAGTCTCCAAACTCTGAGGCTTCCGTCTGTTCCCCCAACTCCACCCCTCATCTGATGATTGACTGTGTCAGTTTTCTCTCTAATTAAACTGAAAAGAAGTATAAATCCCAGGGGGTTTTGTGGTCAGCCAACCTTTTGTTGTTGAATATACACATGCACACACATGTATTTTTACATAGCTATATTAATTAGAAAAGTTTTTATCCTTTTCTTATCCTCCTTGCATTAGAAGTTTCTTTCTTGGGGCAGCAAAGGTAGCACAGTAGATAGCACATAGGCCCTGGGTTCAAATGCGGCCTCAGCTGTGTCACCCTGGGCAAGTCACTTAACTCCACTGCCTCGCAAAAAAAAAAAAGTGTCTTCCCCTTCCCCCATAGAATCTAATTTAATATTTCACATGTAGAATATCAAGGAAGGCACATCTATAATGCCTTTGATCTCTCAGCTGAGAAAAGAACACAAAGGCCATTCTCTTGGCACTTGCCAGATAATCAATGTGCATATATCCCAATGTGTCTTTTGCTTTTTGCTTTCACCCCTAAAATCAGACTAGCTGGTATCCCCCTCCTTTTATAATAAGCTTATGGATCCAGACAGCCTGGCATCATAGATGAGACTCTTTATGTCCTCTTTGTTAGCCAACCTTGGTTAAATCAGGGAACAGTCCACTCTGTAGCCCTCAACCAATTACTTCATGTAGAGACCCCAAAGGATAGATTCAGAACAAAACCAGCAGACAGGACCCTGCTCCAACAATCACTGTCCTAGAACTCCCAAGCAGGAGGGAGGGTCTTTAACAAGTGAGAGATGGGAAGCCAACCTTGAGCTGCCCGCTGCCAAATCATGACAATCTGGTCACAGATTTGGAAGACCACAGTAATTCATTCCCATCTCTAGCTAGTGGTAAAAATATCTTTTAATAAAGCTCTTTTGAACACCCAGGTCATATGTATTTTGCCTCCTTCTAAATGCAGAGCTGCTACATAATTAATCACTAATCAGGAGAAGCATTTGCTGCCAAATGAAGGAAATGAAATGAGTGGGGGAAAAGGATCATCTCCTCCTCATTTCCAAAGTCTTCAAACACAGGACACTTTCATTCCACTGCTACAGTGAGTAGACCTAATTTATTCAACTACCAGTATCAGTCCTTGCTGTCCTGTTTATAAAACCATTCTTGTCCCCTTGTAACATAGATTTATTCAAAGTCATATATTTATATAACCAATTGACATTAGGCAAAGTTAGCTTCTATTAATGAACTGATACCATGCAATATTATCAATTAGTGTTGAGAGAAATAATTAAATATATTACGGAAAACAATAATATTCAGTTTACTATGATATTCAAGCTAATTTAAATGGAAAAAAATCCTCCCTCTCCCTCATACCTGCCACAAAGTAATATATCATTTGAATACGGTTTCCTGGCAACACAAATCTTCACTAGCTAATGACGAAAGCAATGGGGGTTATAATGCACCAATGTTGTGAGTTACTGGTGTGGTTGTCAGAATGTACTTCTAAATGAAATGGTAACAAAGCAACCCAATCTATGTGTTGTTTTCTCCCCTGCTAAAAGTAGCAGCAGGAATAATATCATTGGCTTAAATATACACAGGAAGAGACCAGAGATTTTGTACACTATGTTTCTTGGAATAAAGCACCTTCTACCTCAAAAAACCATGACGTGAGGAACACAGAGAACACAAAACAACTTTGTTAGAGTTAGAGAAAAGATAACAAAACATTAACTGGATTAAAGAAACAGGGGTGGGAAAGGAATCTAGTTTGTTTCGTTTGGCCTGCGGTTGCTTTCTAATTTTCATAGCCTGGTAAAACATGGCTATGTTCCATCTGTAGATGGGAAATGAGAAAACTGTGCCTTACCGCCTCTACTTCTGCTGGATCGTACCAGACGTTGATGTACGGATGCTGTAAGGCATCATCCACTGATATCCTTTTGGCTGGATCAATCACTAGCATCTTTGACAAAAGGTCCCTGGCTTGGCTGGCTGAAATGACAAAAATAAAGCAAAATTCTAAGTGACTAGATGGAGAGAAGGTAGTTCAAGGGGAGAGAAGAAAAATATTTACTGGTGTGGACCAAATATGAATCTTCATTTCAAACACTGATTAAAGTTTTTTACCTTCTAGAAAACCAAATGAATTTGCTACAGTACTATATGACATGGTTGTTCTGAAGCTCAAATAACATAATCTATGCAAAATGCTTTGTAACCTTATTATACAAATGTCAGTCATCACAAAAGAGAAAGGGATGGAAAGTACGAGCTCAGAATGGCAGATAAAAAGAACACTTATTGATTCATTGAAGGCTCATTTTCACCTCCTAAAGTTAAACATGAACAAGTCATACATTCTGAATATCAAATAAAAGAAGTAATTTTATTTCATATCACTTAGAATTTATTTCCTTTCCTTCATGCATGGCCCAAAGATGATGCTCACGGCTCCATCCCTCATGTGGAAAATATAAAGAAAAGACCATTCCAACCAAGAGCTGGTCATTAATTCCTTCACATTTTGGCATAAACAGCCTTTGCTTAACTTACCTTTAAGTTTATTGTGCTCGGAGTCAGCAGGGAAGAGGGAATCTGGAAAAAGCTTGGGGAAAGTAAGCCCTGCATACTTGGGCCGATTCTCCACGTAATTTCTTACTGTGGGTTGCAATTTCTTCATGAATTCTGGGCATGGCGTTCCTAGTTGCTCGATTACTTTGTTCCATTGATCAATATCTGAGGATCAAACAGTTAAGGGAAAAAAAGTATACTCTACTAGCTATTGCTACCTCACAATGTGACTAGTTATTTCTCATTATCCTCAATCACTGTAACAAAAATTTTCAAGCAATGAATTCCTATGGAAATTTTCATCTCTGATGACAATTATCTCTTAGACTCTGCCCTGATGACTGCATTAAACATTTTAAACTTCCCTCCCTCATCCCAAAAACAAAATACCATGTATACAAAGGATAATTGGGTGACCACAGGGTAATGGAATCAGATACCTGGAGAATGGTTTTTATATTACTGTTCTTTCATTCTTTGTATAATTTGGTATTTATTTATTAATGGATAAGAGATGGGATAGTGGCTAGAGAGGTAGCCTAGAATCTGGGAGGATCTGGGTTCAACTTTGACCTTTGACACATATTGTCTGTGCGGCTGTGAGTAAATCATTTAACCTTTCTGAATTCTAGAAACTCTAAGTGCAAGAGAGATCGTTTATTTGCATAGGTAGAGGGATTTTCCTCACATGAGAGTTCCTGAAGCTTGTAGCACAGTGCCTAGCATGCAGTAGGCACTACACAAATGCTTATTCCCTCCCTTCCCCATACCAATGAAATCACAGATGTGGTCCTTATCTTATCTGTGTACATGTCCTATGCAAGAATATAAGCTCTTTGAGACCAATCCCTGCCAGTTTTGTTTGTTTTCATATCCCCAATGACTAGCGTAGTTCCTTCCACATAGAAATATTTAATCAGAGTTAAATTAATTGCTTTTTTCCTAGTGAAAAACTGACTTAGAAGGGGAAATGGTATATGAATGGCAGTCACATAACCAGGAGATTTAGAACCCTGGGATGAGCATGTTTTTCCACTAAGAATCCACAATTATTATGTTTAAGACAAGAAGTTTTATTTTAAATATTACTTTTTCCATGTTTGGCATAAATTACCTTTCCCCTTCTCTCCACTCTATGAAATGAAAAAAATTTCATTTTCATTTATTTCTGTGACATAATCTATGTGTGACTTGTATCACTCCGTGGACATGAATTCAGATTTGGCTATGTCTACATCATCAATTTGATAGTGACTGTGAAGCATTGGTAAATGTGCACTCTGCAAAAATTGAGGAAAGCAGTTATGGACCAAAAGACCTGAGGGGTCTCTATCAGGCAATTGTTCAATATTTCATATGATTTATTATGATAACATTGAGTTGACTAATTTGGTATCAAGGATGCCAAGAAGGATGTTAAATTCTATTATGGTTCAATCTATCATCTTGAAAGAAAATGGAATCAGTTAATTTTTGAAACATCTATTGATCTTGAGAGGTAACATGTCACAGTATATAACAAGCTGACCTCAAAGTGAAGACCTGGGTTCAGTTCCCACTTTAGACGCATTGAGGTTGTGTGGCCCCAGGCAAATCGTTTAGCTTCTCACCTACTCTAGGCAATTCTCTAATGTTGCAGAAAACGTGAGAATTAATTCCTACAGCAAAGACATCACAAGGAGTCCTCCTCACACACTGCACAGTCTACTTGATGTGATTTTACTACTGGTACCAACTCTCATCTCAACCTCTGTACTGGCTGTCATCCACGCCTAGAACATTTTCCACATCTTTCTTCCTTTTTTTCTTTCTACTTACTCCCTCTCAGTTCTTTTTCCCCTACACCTTTTAGTTTCCCTAGCTTCCTTCATGATACAACTCAAATTGTGCTCCTTGCAAAAGGCCTTTCTTGTCTTCCCCTCCAGTTACTACTGCCTTCTCCTTTAAAATGAACTTCTACCTATTTTATATATATATACACATATATACATATATATACACACATACACACAAACACACATATGTGTGTGTGTATATATATATATATATATATATAAACTTATATATAGCTAGTTATTTCTTTTTCTCTAGTAAGTAATACCTTAAATTTCTAAAATCATAGCATTTGGATGAAAAGAACTAGCCTCCTAATGATACAAATGCATTACATTATAAATATCTTTCCAAAAATCACCACCACTTCTATGCAATATTATCTGTAAAATTTTTCAAAATTCACAAGGCATTCTGATATAAATATGCACAAACCCAAAACAATATCATGGACTTAATGCAATGTGATATGAAATGAAACTTATTGCCAGTCAAACAGCAATAATTCAGTTGAATGCATCTCTAAATTATTTTACATGGAAAAGCTATCCTTTCATCTTCCAATTTGGGCTTTCTATACTGGCTGCATTCAGAAACCAAGTGTAGAGTAGTTATCACTTTTGTTTTTATTGCTACAAAGGTAGGACACTAGAATTTACCATGCAGAACACAGATAACTATGCTATGAATTCCCCATTTAATTTATTAAAGTCAATATACATCTGAATTTTAAATTGCTCAATTTAAAAGCTGGCTACATAATTATAACTACTTTTCTACATCCACAAGAGTACTAGAATCTGAAATTAAGTTTAGAAATCATGAGAAAGCTCAAAACAAACTCCAGCTTCATGAAGAATTAAGCATCTCTGCAACTGGGATTTACAGTCTTTTTTTTTAAAAAACAAGCACTTATTAAGGCACTGTTGTAAGTGTTTTACAAATTTTATTTCATTTTATACTCACAACAGCCCTGGAAGGTAGGTGCTATTATTAACCCCGTTTTACAGAGGAGGCATCTGAGACAGGCAGAGGTTAAGTGACTTGCCCAGGGTCCCACAGCCAGTAAGTATCTGGGGCTGGATTTGAACTCAGGTCTTCCTGGCTCCTTGTCCAGTACTCCATCCAATATGCTACCTATATACCTCTACAAGCATGGCAAACTTCCTACCTTCCTCTTATCTCATTTTCTGCAATACTTTCTGAAATCCAGGGCTTTCCTTTGGGCCAGTACTGGAGATTCTGATAGTTGGCAAAGATGAAGATCTTATATATTCCTAATTTAAGTGAAAAATCACTGTCTACCTAGTTCTTGATATGTTATATCCCCAGCACTTAGCACATGGTAGGCCCTTTATAAATGTTTATAAACTGACTGACACAGTGATAGAAATGACAGTTATATCACTGTTCTGGGTCTACATATAGTTCAAGTAAATATTAGTTTAATAGGAATTTTCTTAAGTCGTGTTTCAGAAACTCAGAAATTCAAAGCATTTGCTGTTTTTCACCCTCTTGAAGAAAAACTAATTCCACAGGCCTGTCAATCATTTTGGAGCAGCTAGGTAGTGCAGTGGATAGAGCTCTGGGCCTGGAGTCAGAAAGATCTGAGTTCAAATCTGGCCTTAGACACTTACTAGCTATCTGACCCTGGCAGAGTCACTTAACCTTGTTTGCCTCAGTTTCCTCACCTGTAAAATGAACTTGAGGAGGAAATAGCAAACCACTCCAGTATCTTTGCCAAGAAAACCCCAAATGGAGTCACCAAGAGTTGCACATGACTGAAATGACTGAACAAATCAGTCATTTCCCTAACCCATCAGGAAATAGTAATGAAAAGAGGAACAATAATGTAAAGGGAAACACAACTGAAGGACCCCAAATCTTTATCAATGCAGTGATTAATTTTCACTTCAGAAAGCTGATTGAGTACAATCCCTATCTCCTCAGGCAGATAATGGACTCTAGGTTCAGGATGAGGCATACATTTTCAGACACTGCTGGTGTGTTGATTTGTTTTGCTTAACAGTGCTTAATTGTGATAAAAGTGGAATGTCTATTGGTATGTGGAAGGAAGTCATTTACAAGTTACAGTGATGTAAAACAATATTCTTTTTAACTTCTTAAAAGAAAGAAATACTATCTAGTTAATGCATCCTTGGGGAGCCATTTAAAACCTGGTCCACCTTACCAGCAGCTTTGTGAATTTTAAGAGTAATATTCCATAAAATTGAGAACAGCACCCAAAGATCTACACTGGAGAGTGTACATTTGAAGGGCACACAAAAAATTATTAACATCTCATTCAAGGAAGTAATCAATCATTTTAAAAATTATATGTGCTTCCTAAAGAATGGAAATTTCAACAGAAAAGTTCTAGTTGCAAAGCTTAGTAAGGAACATGATATTCGGGTTGTTTTTTAAGTAAACAGTAGCAGTCTACTCAAGTGGTTGGTGGGAATTGCTTAGAACAAGTCTCCTAGATATCGAAAACAGTTCCACTGAACAAGATCTGTCAGCCCTGGCAAAAGGCACAATGAACTTTATTCACTGAAAATACAAATTGAAAGCACAGCAAAAAGTACTATTATACTGGGCAAAACTTAAACCTTTTTATTATGTAATAGCTGAGATACTTTCCCACTGATCCTGAGAGATAAATGAGCACAGTTTCTCTCTAGATGATGGATAATTTGACAGTGCTAAGCTAGGGTAAAGAGAAGTTAGTAACTCAGTTTTTAACTGTTAAGGATGCAGAAAAATTGTCAAGAATTGAAATGAAGGTGGGAAAGGATGCAAAATGATCAATGCTTTTCTTGAAAAGAGTAATAATAACCAAAGGAAAAACTAGACTGCTCATGTTTACTGAAAACTGGCTTAAAGTTATGATGTAAAGCAATGAATAATAATTCTTTAGGAGTCAGATCATAAGTATTAATGTAAATCACATGTGTATAACACATGAGAGACAAAAGGCATCCTTATAAAAGGAAGAGTGTTAACACATTGTGTGTCCTATAAATATATAGATGTGTTAATACAGAAACTTCTAAGTTGATTAAATATAATTCACATGAAGAGCACTTCCTTCTTTTAGCAACCTAGATAATATGAAAAGATGTACTTCTTGCATAGTTAACTATGCCCTACAAAACATTCAATTTTGCATCAAGGAAACTCGGTAGCGCAAGGGTAATAGTTTGTTATTTACTATTGCAGGATTTTTTACTTCAAGCCAAAAATGAGGATTAAGTGGTTACGTGACTTACAGTTACATCATCACTTATCAAGTGTGCCGTGCTATAAATCCAACATGGCCATTGTTTGCCATG